CACAGCCCAGTGAAAGTGAGTGAGGGTGGGGGAGAGCGAGCGACAGAGGGAGGGAGGCTGGAGTGAGTGCGGGGGAAGGGGGCGGGTAAAGGGTGTTCAGTTTTGTGCAATTAGAAAGTTGGCAACCCTACCAAAAGAGCATAGTCTAACTGAGAAAAGATGGTCAAATATATGTAAAAAACAGTAGTAAGGAAAGGGAGGACAAGGGAAACAGTAATAAGAACATGCATTTATACTGGCCATTTTCATTTTGATGATGAATGATGATTTCTGTTGCATTAATATCTAGGTCTCAGTGTGGATCAGGATGTGATTGTACTAGACACGTTTTAAACATACACCCCTACCCCAATATAACACGAATTCGGATATAATGCGGTAAAGCAGTGCTCCGCGGGGGACGGAGCTGCGAGCTCCGGCGGATCAAAGCAAGTTCGATATAACGCGGTTTCACCTATAACACGGTAAGATTTTTTTGGCTCCTGAGGACAGCGTTATATTGGGGTAGAAGTGTATAATGAAAAAACTGTCCTATACCACCATTCAAACAAAATTAAAATTTGGAGGCTAAACCATTAGTTAGACCTTGTTCCTTTTAAATTTGAGAGGTGTAGATTTGAGGTTGAAGACACAGTCCAGAAACCTCTACAATTGAAACAGGGCATAAAATTCTGTCAGAGCAAGTTTAGTCTGTGATTGACTAAATGCCTAAAATGTTAAATGTTTTGTTTATACGATGTCTTACCTCTGTCCATAGAGTACTTGAGCATTTGGGAACTCCCCTCGCTGCCTGTCCCTTTTTTCCTAACCAGAATTTTAATATGTCAATTGTGGCTTAGACCCTTATACATCTTGTGTTTGCAGAACTGCAGGACTGCCAATAAGCTGGTTGGAAGATGGGGAGATGACACCCTAATTTTTGATGGGGGCAAAATAGAGGTTAGCAGGGTTTTTCGTCAAAATCATGAGTGTTTCAGCTTCCTCTTTCCACATCTCTTGCTTCCAGTACAGCAGTTTTTTAAGATGTAAATCAGTTGTTGAGATCAAGAGGAAAGTTGATTCCTGCCATTGACTATGACAGATACAGATACTCCCCACGTTACACAAGACCCAACTTACACAAATTCGCACTTACGGAAAAAGTTCCATAAGCCAGAAATAGATTTTTGAGTTGAGGAAATTTTTGCATAACGTATATTTCTGACTTATGCAAAATTCGAGTTACGCAAGGCTTTCTGGAACTGAACGATTGCGTAAGTCGGGGGCGTCCGTAGAAGCTGCTTGTTTGCAGTGACCGTGCTTACAAATTAGTTGGGAAATTGTAAATTATGTTAGGTCACTACCGGTGAACTACTGTAAGAGGAAACAAGGTGAGGTAAATGCAGACTCTGATTATGAATATGTATGTAAGCCCTAGTAGCTGTTTAACCTTGTGCTAGTCCTGTTTGGCTGGATATCATATTGTCTGGCATGGCACTTTAGTATTTTGAGATTTTTCCTTCCTTTTTTGGTATACCATTGGCTTTGTACGATATTAAGTACTAATAAAACTAAATTTTATAAGGAAAGGGGATTTCTTTGGTTAAAGAAAGTCCAAAATCTAAGTTTTATAAACATAATAATAAACATAATGTTTTACAAAATAATATATAATAATAAGCATATGGTTTTACAAAATGTAGTATTAATAGAAATGTTTTTACAATGATCATAAAATTGCAGCATTGTGATAAAGAAAAATTGACTAAGAAATAAACATGAAACTATTTTTATTGTCCACAATGAATTACATGTAAAAAATAAATAGCATAAATGGTGAAATATGTAATATGCTTTCAGTATTGATACTCTTAGATGTTGTTAACACAGGTAAGGAAGCCTGGGGAGTTTAAATGTGATTTTTAAATGAACGTTGTCCTTTTTTGCTGCCGCTCAGCGTGTGAGCATTGTTGGCCTGTTATTTAATTAGGACCACAGCTGGTAGTCAGTGAAGAAAAATGTACAAAGGGGAGAGGTGTTTACTTGACTGTGTGATACTGGTTTTATACAACTTAGAGAATTGTAGCTATTATTGACCTGTGGAGAGAAAGCAGTGCTTTGGAGGAGAGTGTGTGTTAAATAGTTCTGTGAAACATATGCACTTTATTGTACTCTATAGTAGAGCTGGTCAAAAACCTGAAAAGACTTTTTTTCAAAAAAACAAAAAACACCATTTTTTTGTGAAGTATGTGTGGTGTTAATTTGTATATTACTTGAGAGCTAATTTACGAGCCCGTAACATAATATTAAGGAGAAAAACGTTCGTAAATAAGAAATGTATGACCATTGCTAAGAGCAAGAGTGTGTAGAGTGCATAGTGTAGAAAATTTAACCTAATGCTTGAAAAATCAGCTTTCCTTTGTCCTACTGGGAAGTAAGAAGCTTTCCATGGTGCATGAAGGGGCACAATTTCTACAGCATAATTAGGCTTTCATTTGTGTGTGTGTGTGTGTGTGTAATACACACACACACATTATTAAGGTTGCAAAGTATTGGGATTCCCTCTGAGACTTTTTCCACTTGTCTTATCCAGAACATCTTGCCTAGTTCTGGGAGAATACTTTATCCAGTTCTCTGGAATCCAAGTAATCCGTTCAACTCAGGACTCTTTTCTGAGGTTTCTTTATTGGCATACAATCAAACTACACTTGAGTTGATCAGGCTCAGGTGTAGGGGTTGGGTTCAGAGTACACATCCAATGTACGTAATCATGAGTCAGTTTATATACACACTTATACTTAATACTATTGGTTAACGACTTTTATGGTAGGTCTACTAATTTTTTTAACCAATCCCTGTACAAATCACGAACTGTCCATGAGCTGCAAAGTGTCCTAGTAAGCAAAACTGCAGTTACAAGCTTATTACATGTTATTCTTACTATTTCTTTATCTACTAATGACATGTTATTTACAAGGCCACTTGTGAATTTATGCCTTGTCCATTGTTAACCTCTGTTTCCTCACTACTGTTTTCTTTCATTGTTCATGCAAGGCCTACACAAAGTCAAACATTCAAAGTTAGGAAATGGCAGAATTTAGGTTGTCTGTGCAACCTTATTTTAACCCCCAGTGCATATGCATTATGCACAGTGTTTAATTACATGATCACATACTGTTTTTCCATAGGACCTTTAGATCTACCACACAGACCTCTGCCACTTGAGCTAGCAGAGTAACTGATAGCAATAGTAGGTTGTCATCCTCTATGGGGACCAGCACTAGAGGGATGGGATACTCTGCCAGTGGATACCACAGATATTTTCTGACAGCAGAGGAATGGAAAGACTAAGGAATCTTAGATTCTGTTCTAGGCTCTGGAACAGAATGTACTCTACTTGACACAGACTCTTCTTCCCATTCCCCACAAGCCTGACTCCTTTCTGCCCCACCCCGTTTCACTTGTCCAAGTCTTGTCTCTTCCCCACCACTGGTTCCTTGTCCCAGTCCCATTCTCCTCACCTAAATAGGCTCAGTGTCTACTCCTCAGGCTTCTGATCCCAGTTCTAATCTCTTTGTCCATCAATTCCTTGTCTCACTTCTCCAGACTTCGAGTCCCACCCCACCCCCCAGCTACTTGCCGCCTGTCTCATTGCCCAGCCAGTCCTATTCTGTCCCTCCCCCCCCCATACCCCTGCAGCTCCTCCACAGATCTGTCTCACTGGCATAAATACACCTTTACCCCGATATAATGCTGTCCTTGTCAGCCAAAAAATCTTACCGCGTTATAGGTGAAACCGCGTTATATTGAACTTGCTTTGATCCGACGGAGTGTGCAGTCCCGCCCTCCCCTCCCCCCCCGGAGCACTGCTTTACCGTGTTATATTCTAATTTGTGTTATATCGGGTCACGTTATATCGGGGTAGAGGTGTATATGGGAAAAGGTATATTTTCAATTTTATTTTTAAAGTAAAAATTGATGTTCATTCCTCTTAGATTGCCCATTTTATCACAATTTTCTTGGCTGATCATAAATTTGCATATGCCATCAGGTAAGTATGGGATATGCCTTGTGTTCCATCTCTCATCTAGTTTTTGGTTCCATTTCTGCTGTTCTTTCCCATTCTGGATGGCTTTCTCCATTTTTCGGTTTAGTTGTTAGTAGCATGTTCTCTGATATCTGGGTGTACTGCATTTTAATTTCCAATATTTTTAACTGAAGAATTACATATTTACACAAAGGAGGAAAAATACAAAGATCCCTTAACACTAATATACAGCAGACATACAGTGAAGATTGAAAAGCATCTAAAGAGTATTGGAATTCACATTTTGAAATTGTAAAATATCTCTGGGACCTACCAGACTGTACGAACTGTAAGGACAGGATTTTGCCTTTAGTATGATTGCTTAACCCAGATAAATTATCTTGGAAAGAAATGCAGGTCTGGTCCTTCCATTACAACTTCAGTAAATCTTTGTTGTTTAAACTCACTAGCATGAGACCCGGGAAAAAATTATCTCAAACAACTGCAAAATGGTAGCTCTGTAAGTGGAATTTGTATTAGTCTCAAAGTAACATTTTGAATCCTTGCATGCCATATTCCCATTGTTCTCTGTAGGAAGGTTACACAGGCTTTTATGTCTGAAAGCATTCAGATGATTAAAGGACACTGCACCTTCTTTTATAGCACAAGTCTCTGAACTAGTATCCACTGGGATAGTGTAAAAAAGCTAATGGACTCAGGCTTCCAAGTAAATTATACTGCATTATTTTTACCCTTGTTATGTGTGTTCTCTCTCTTAATACAGTATTTGCTCCTCCTCAGGAGTGTTCCAGGAAAAGCATTCAGCTGCATGTGGATTATTTTATCCCATTTTGTGATTTAAAAGTTCTCAAGTGTGAAATTCACACTAGTTGTGAACACTGATGCCTCCTAGTAGTTTACAGTAGTGGTACATTAAAAGAGTGGTCCATTTGGTAGACAAGTTTAACCTGGATACATTTTGATTGTCTTACAGCTCCATTTAGCAGCCCTGGCATCACTAAAGGGAGATATAGTGGAGCTTAATAAACGTCTGCAGCAAACAGAAAGGGAGCGGGACCTGCTGGAAAAAAAATTGGCAAAGGCTCAGGTGAGTGATGGTTCAAGATCCTGGAAATGGTCTGGGTTGTTTTCTTCAAACAGAGGAAGAGAGATTAAAGATAACATACACTGTAACACTGATATCAGTGGGGAAAAGTTTTAAGAAAGCATAACAAATATTTTTGCCAAAGATGTTAAATTTTTATGTTTTGATGGTAAGTGTTTAAAAAAAGTCAAGAAATAATTTCATTAAATTGGTTTAGTTTGAAGCCAGAATAAATAACCAGTTGTAATAGGGAACAATTTAAACTATATTGTTTCAGGAAATATAAATTACTGAAAGGCCAAGTTGGCTTAGATGATTGAATATAAAGTCTTTAACTTCAAGGTCAGGTTCAACTCCAGTTCAGATTAGTAGTGCTCAGAAGTCATTGCTACTCAATAGCTACTCAGGGGTCTGTGAGAAATCTGTGGTGGTCTCGGTCCAGTTTCTAGTGGGCAGGTGTCCATATAACTACAATCAACGTCACAACTGATGTTCAGTAGAGAAGCTAAGGACTGAATCAGGGTGCGCTCTGACCCTTAGAAATGGTCCTTTCATGTCAGAATAAAACAGGTAGGAAGGCAGATGTGGAAAACTTGTACTGTTTTCTATATTGTAGTCGTCTTTAGACACAGAACCTTTATTTTCAAACGCAGTCACTCTGGCACCTTTCACATGCCTTACATTTCTAAACTGACTCAAAAGATAAAAATATGGTCATGTATTCATAGAGTTTAAGGCCAGAAGGGACCATTAGATCATCTAATCTGATTGATATATCACAAGTCATTAAGTTTCAGCCACTTACTCCTATACTGAGTCTGTTTGGCTAAACCATATCTTCCAGAAAGGCATCCAGTCTTGATCCAAAGACATCAAAAGAATGAGAATGCACCACTTTCCTTAGTAATTTGTTGCAATGGTCAGTGACCCTACTATTAAAAATGTGTGCCAATTTCTAACTTAAATTTGTCTGACTTCAGCTCAAAGGCATTGATACTTGTTATGCCTTCCTCTTCTAGAATTACACAGTATTTTCTCCCTGTGAAGGTACTAAACACTGCAATCAAATCACTTCTCTATCTTCTTTTTGAAAAACTAAATTGGTTGAGCTCTTATGTCTCTCACCGTAAAGCATTTTCTCCAGCCCTCAAATCACTTGTGTGGCTCTTTTCTGTACCTTCTCCAGTTTTTCAACACCCTTCTAAAAATATGGACACCAGAACTGCACACAGTATTCCAGTATCTGTCTCACCCATGTCATAGACCGAGGTAAAATCACCTGCCTACTCCCCTGTTTATATTTCCCAAGATTGCATTAGCCTTTTTTTGCCACAGCATCGCATTGGGAGTTCATATTGAGTTGTTTGTCTACTATACCCCTAAATCCATTTCAGAGTCATTGCTTTTCAAGGTGCAGTCACCTATTCTGTAGATATGGCATACATTCCTTGTTCATAGGCATGTAACTTTACATGTGGCTGTATTAAAATACATTTTGTTTGAATGGGCCCTGCTTACCAAATGATCCAGATTGTTCTGTATGACTGCCTGTTGTCCTCATTGTTTATCAGTCTGCCAATCTTTGGGTCATCCACTAATCCTTCAAAAACATTTGCTTATTTTTTTTAAATGTTTACGATGACAACTCTGGACATTCTTGTTATCCAGATAAATGGACTCAATGGTATTTTGTGGTTATGAGTTCTGCAAGCTAATTGTGTGTTTTGTAATTAATGGATCTATCCCATTTCATAGAACTGGAAGGGACCTTGACAGGTCATCGAGTCCAGCCCCCTGCCTTCACTAGCAGGACCAAGTACTGATTTTGCCCCAGATCCCCAAGTGGCCCCCTCAAGGATTGAACTCACAACCCTGGGTTTAGCAGGCCAATGCTCAAACCACTGAGGGATAGCTCTGTGTGTTTTGTGTTTCCAAATCTCCATTGCTCCTAGAAAAAGTAAGATTGAGGTCAGGAATTAACTGCACAACCTCAGACAATTCTGGGTGAGACTAACTTCCATGGCCCTTTTACTCAGTAAAATACTGGCAGGCAATGTATTGCCCTTGTCGCTCAGATGATGAGAAACTCCAGGATGAGATGCTGCTGACAGATAGTACTAAGTCATGTGCTTTTCTCCACAAAAGCTGTCCCAGAACTAGTCCAGCAAATGTGCTCTGGGAGTAGCTCTGGGAGCAGGACAGTTTCTCACAACACGTATGTTAATCAGAGGTCTGACACTGACTTACACGTGTCAAGAGCACTCCAGAAGTCTGCTTTAGGAAAGCAAACTTTGAATGGGTCAGCAGTAGAATGTGGCAACTATACCCTCCTGTAGTCTTCAAGAAATCACATTGAATCTGCGTGGTTGCACAAGCTGAAGAAGGTGATAGCTGAGTGGCTTCACAGCTCATCTCCTTACCTTGGTTCATACTGTCAGACACTGGGGCCAGTGTGGTACGGTACACATTATGTATGTTGGCAGTTTTGTTCCAGTCCCATTTTCCCCTCTGAACAAATTTTGCCACAGTTCTTGAAAAGTATCGAGGACACAGACAGGATGATGATAGTGGTGTATGAAATTTGTGGCCACATCAGCATGTACATGCACATCATCTTTTGAAAACACTGCATGTGCAGAATTCTTCTTGTCCAGAGTGTTCTACATTATACAGAGTAGTCTTGACACAGAACATATCTGTTTACTTATATTTTGACTTTACTTCAATTATGCAATGCTGGGGCGGGGTGGCCATCAGAAACAGACTGGAAAGACAGAGAGCTCAGCTCCCTGGCATATTTATCAGCTATATTAGTGGCTATAATGCCACTAATGTTTTTTTGCTTTTTCTCTCTCCAGTTTTTCCTCTACAGTTACTTATTTTGTTTTTTTTCTCTGGCACTGTAAGTCATTATACTATAAAATACCTGAGAGTTTGGGACCTGGCTGGATTCTTTCTATCTGGCTATATTCTCTCTAGCTGTGCGCAGCTGCTGCTTCCACCAATACTAGTTTGAATTACTTTCTCATTACCATTTGATCTGACTGACTATGTACAGTAAATCCTTAAATGGAGGCATACATAAATTCTCATCTCCTGTAGTTTTTTTAAAAGTATTATTTACATAATCAAGTGGTGATCCACAGAGATACTAGAGGATACACTTGCTAGCAGCTGCTGCATATTCCTTTTTCACCATCAGTGATTTGATTTCTTGTGTACATTATTGCTGTGTATATAACTGTAGGAAATTGGGCACCAGTGCTGGGCATGCCCACTGAAATCAGCACACACTAGTAGGGGGTTCTGGTGGTTGCATACTGGTTGCCTAAACTGTACCTCCCTATGTCTTCAATCTATGGATCCTGTTGGGATTAACCTACACTTTCTCACCACTCTGGGGTTAGCAAAAGTCCTTTGGTCGGTGTACAGTGTATAGTTCTTCCCCAAGTCCTCCCACTCTAAAAACCAGCTCACCTTTGTGCCGTAGTGGAAGCAGCCGCAACTAGTCCCAGACATATTTTTATGCTTTGGGTTTCAGGAGAGACGACAGGATCAGGCCTTTCACCCACTATATGCTCCTGTTGGCATCTCCTCAAGGAGTAATGGTCTCAAGTTGCAGCGGGGGAGGTCTAGGTTGGATATTAGGAAACACTATTTCACTAGGAGGGTGGTGAAGCACTGGAATGGGTTCCCTAGAGAGGTGGTGGAATCTCCTTCCTTAGAGGTTTTTAAGGCCCGGCTTGACAAAGCCCTGGCTGGGATGATTTAGTTGGGGATTGGTCCTGCTTTGAGCAGGGGGTTGGACTAGATGACCTCCTGAGGTCCCTTCCAACCCTGATATTCTATGATTCTATGATTCTATCACTCTGAATAACTTCCTGCAAATCTGCAAACTGCTGCAAGAACAAACTAAAATTAAAACCACTCTCCTCCCATATCTATAAAATGACTTCCTGTCTCCCTCAGCGCAACCCACTATGTGTCATTCAAAGATGTATAGAGGTCCACTTCTGGTTTTGATATAAACCAAACTATAATCCATAGGCAGTGTATGGAGCTTAAGTAAAACACAGTGTGAGAAGATAGTTGTCTCATTTGCATTCAAATTAATTTGAAGCTTTAAGCAAAGGTAAAAGGGTATAAAAAGCCACACAGGTCAGAACTGAAGAAAAAGTTTGTTGGGACCAGTGCAAACAGAAACAGCCAATGTTCATGACGCTCTAATTTCATTTTAACTGCTGGATCAGGCAAAAACTGAAGGTGAGGGAACACAGAAAAATACAGACCATGTACAGTTGTTTTTTGTATAAATGTTTCTTTTTCCAAAGTTGGTTCAAGATGGTCCTCCTCCTGAGTAGAACTATTCAGGGAATACATTCCTAAAGGACTACATTCCCAAGATGCATCATACTACTCAGAATTTGTCAATGTTTTTACTCTTTCTTTAAAAAAACAAAACAGTGGACTTAATGCTAAAATGACCTTGGAAACGAGGGATTTTGTAATTAAGGATTTTATCCTAAATTAGTTACTGCTGCTTCCTTTCCCATTCCTTTTGGAATACTACAGCAGTGTATCTGTTCTACGTACAAAAATTACACCTTTCCATCAGAACTGTTCATTTCTCTGATCTGCAGTGATGCAGAGTGGAAGACTAAAGGACTGAACTCCTAGACAAGAGGCAATTCCAAAAGCCATACTCTATGTTCTGATCAGAAGATTCAACTTTGCCATTCCTTTTGCGCTCTTCTGGTTTGCTGGATGACATGAAATCAAGATCAATAGTTGAGCTAAACAAATAATTAGAAATAGTACTTAAATGGATAGCAAGTAGATGTGGTTTACCTATACTCTCATTCAGCCTCAAGCATTACACAGACTAAACCCCCAAACAATGAATTCTTATCCATGTGGATTGTTAGGAAGGGGCTCAGGCCACCAGAAAGTTGCTTATATATAAAAGAGACAAGAATTAACTGATGGCATCCCAAAAGCTTCCA